AGAGACGGAGACGGAGAGGGGGAGAGAGAGAGAGAGAGAGAGAGAGAGAGAGAGAGAGAGAGAGAGAATCCACAGAGAGGTTGAACATTAGCTGAAGAATACATTTGTTATCTTACTTTTTAAAGAAAGCAGCCAAGAAGCCCAGGGCTGCTCCTAGACAGTAGCAGTGTCACACAGGAAATCCTGAATGCACCTGAGTTTTTAGGGATCCCTTTACCCCTTCCTTCTACCCACCCTACCTGCCCACCCCTCAGTCCCGCCTTCTCTAGGAATTCATTCATGTCCGGTACTCCAGGGTGATCTGCAAGAGCTTCTCCAGCCACCTTGCCTCCCTGTGCCTCAGTCTCCACTTTCGAGCAGTGGGGCTCACAACAGGAATGACTTCAAGGGATGCTGGGGGTAAGGGAGAGTGAAAGGAGATACACAGCGCTCTGCTAGTGCCTGGCGCATCAATGCATGCGAATGCTTAAAGTGGCTACACATACAAAAGCCATCCTCTTAGAGAGGCACGGCCAGCTAGGGACCCCACTGCTCAGTGTGGCTCACCCACGTCCAGCACTTTACCATTGCGTGACTGACGACTCCAGACGAGGCAGTGTGCTGGGCACCACCCAACTCAGTCTGTGTGGCCTGTGCAGTCAGTGGCTCGGCCCTTGTCCTGTGCTTTGACCCCTCTGGCTGCTGTGTTGCTTCTGACCTGGGCAGGAAGCTTCCTGAATGCGCCTTCTATTTTAAATACATCAAATTCTGGTAGTTTTGGGTTTGGGGTAGATAATGAATACACGATCGAGGCAGAAAGTGTACAGAGCACAGCTGCTAGTGTGGTCTGTAACATGAGCCAGTGGAGTCAGTGAGGAGAAATGTTTGTACAGACAAAACATTCTGTCTCTTATAGCAGAGCCTCTGAGGGCATGTGGCCTGTCCCATGTTTGTTTGTTTTTGCAGTACCAGGTGTTGAACTTGGGACCTTGGGCTTGCCAGGCAGGGGCTCATGTCACTGGGCTATCTCCCCGGCCTGAGCCTGTCCCATGTTAGGCCTGAGAAGACCTAGTGCAGTGTCCGAGCTGTTGGGCACAGTACCTGTATGTCCCGAGACCGCTCGTAGGCCTGGTAGGCCACCTTCTCCTCTGCGCTGGCCAGCTCCTGCTTCAGGTTGGCTGTCTCGTGCTGGTGCAGGTCTGTGAGGTCGTGCAGCTGGTCTTCTAGGCGCTCGTACCTGGACGGAGACAGGAGCCGAGCTGAGCAAGACATGTCACAGACCTTCACCGCTGCAGGGGAGTGCAGATTGTGCCTGGCTCTTCCACCCACACCAGACGAGCACCTGGGCTGCAGCTGGATGGGGTGCAGGCCAGGGCCAGCTAGGGGCCAACCACGTGGGGCCCTCACGAGGCCGGGACCCTGCCCTGCCCTCTTCTTCCTCACAGTTCCTGGGGCTTCCCAGGCTCCAAAGAAAGGAACAATGCTGCTGGTGTCAGCTTCACTCTGAGGCCACCTCTGCCCCCGCTCAGTGTGCACACCCGTACCACCCAGGCTTTTCAGCCTCGGAACTTAAGTGTGAACAAAAAACTGAATTTACTACAAATTATAGATGGGTTACCGGATGGCATTTCCACAGTCCAAATCTGAGGTATGAGAAACATAAAGACCCCCACGCCTTTGCCCCCACGCCCTCCGAAAAGGCTCGATTGTTTCAGACCCTGTATGTTTACTCTGAACAGGATCTTGGACTGTTTGGGGAAGACGCCTTAGCCTGGAATGACTTTGATCACTCCTAGTTGTAGATGTTTTGTAGACCATCATGTGTTAGAACAACTTATTTTCTTCCTTTTTTTTTTTTAATTTATGTATTTGGTACAGGGTCTCACTAGTCAGCTCCAACTCGTAATGATCCTCCTGTTCTCAGTCTCCCCAGGGCTGGATTACAGGCGTGTGCCACCACGCCTGGCCTTGCCTGCTGGCTCAGCATGCCCAGGGGTGGGGCTGGTGCAGCATGCTGAACCAGGGATTGAACCCTGGTCCCTGTGCTTGCCAAAGCTGACACTTGGTCCACTGAGCTATCTTGCTGGCTCTTTCTTCCTTTTCTTTCTCTCCCTCTTTTTTATGCAGCTCAGGCTGGCCTCGAGCTCAGTTTGTAGCCCAGGTTGGTCTCGAACTTGCAACAATCTTCCTGCCTTAGCCTCCCAAGGGCTAGGATTGCAGGTGTGTGCCACCATACCTGGCTAGAATAATTTTCAAAAAAGAAAAATGGTGCTAAACATACACAGAAGGACATCTGTAACTTCAGATAAAAATCCACATCCAGAAAGGACTGTATCTGTCACTACTTAGATGATATTCAGGTCAACATCTTTGGGAAAAGTTGTGACTCAAAAACACTGTTCTTGTGCAATGAATCAATCAAGGTCCAAGACGCACACAGAAAGCTTTAAAACTTCTTCAGGGCTGGGGCGGTAGCTCGGTAGAAGAGCCCTTGCCTTCCGGACTCCACGTCTAGTACTAAATAACAAATATAGATTAAAAATCGTTTCATAATAAATATACTTCTAAAATTAGCTAACAGAATCCACAAGCTTTGAATTTTACTTTGAATCTTAAGATTACCTTTGAAAGGTCTTTTTTTAGGCTAGGAAGTGTAATGATAAATACAGTACATAAGCTGGGCACAGGGGTGCACACCTGTAATCCCAGCATTCTGGAGGCTGAGGCAGGAGAATTGAAAGTTTAATCTCAGTGTGGGTAACATACAGACTTTCAAGACCTTGCCTCAGAAAAGAAAGAGCAAAATAAAATCTGTAAAAATACATATACAAAGACTTCAAGACTGTCATACCAAGTAAAGCCTATGCTATGGTACAATGAATCAGTTTTTTTTTTTTAACCTGATCACTATTATGGAGGGAAATGAAATACAGATCTGAATCAGTGCAAGGAGACTATGACAGAAGTCTCCTGAACCAGTAACTTAATACGCACATGAGTCACAGCCTGCGTGGGGAGAGTTTAGGAGACTCAGGGGTATAATGTCTTTCTCTAATTGCCAGCTCTCCGCCACTCTAATAATTTAAGAAATTATGGAGGCTGGAAAGAACTACTGCTCCCTAAATTCCCTTTGATCTACAGCCGGCTGTACTCAGTGCAAACACGGGGCTGGGAATTTAGCTCACTGGCAAAGCATCTGCCTGGTAATCACGAGGTCCTGAGTTCAACTCCTGGTACTCCTACCTTGAAAAAGGTAAAAAATGAAAAATACACTAACATCAGTGCAAACACAATCCCTGCTGCACCACGTGCCGGCAACCTCTCTCTCTGCAGCGATTGCCTGCGTCTCTGCAGGAGCTCAGCAGGACACCGGGACTCACCTGTATCTCTCCTCCTGCAGGGTCTGAGAAATGAACCCGTATTCTCTCTTGAACTGCACCTTCAGCGCCTCGACGTCCTCTGCCAGCTGGATCTGGGTGTCCTTGATTTCCCGCAGTTCCTCCAGAATTGCAGCTAGCTTCGCCTGGCTGTCCAGGGGGCCGGTCCCGCCAGCCCCGAAGGACTGGTTCCCGTTGCTGTCCCCGGAGCCGGAGGTGCCGCTGGAGCACTCGTCATCGCTGCCGTACTTGGGTTTGTTCACAGTGGTGGCGCTGCCCCCGTAGGGCCTGGTGCTCGCCTCCGGTCTGAACTCCTCTAAGGAGTTTTTCAAGTGAGCGATGTTGTCTGCGCTGCCAAACTTATTTCGGATCAAGTTGGCGAACTCCCTGGACTTGTTGAAAACGAACACGGGCGGGGTGAGGGAGACCCCGGGCATGCCCGACTTACTGCTCTCCATGCTGTGGGGCGCAGTTCTCGACTTGACGTGGGCATCTTTCAGAGGGTGCTGGGCGTCCCTCAGGCTGTCTCTGGAGCTCTCCCGGGCACCTCGGCTGGCTCCATTCTGCTCGAGCTCCCGCAGCTTCCGGTGATACTGCTCGAGCTTCTTCTGCAGCTGGAGGATGCAGTGCGCCGACTTCTGGTTCTTCTTCTCAAACACCTGCTTGATGCGCCCAGCCTGCTGCTTGTCTGCGCTGCTGACGAGTTTCAGGTACTCGGCCACATTTCCATCTCGGGAGGTCTGCTCAATTTTTATCTGTTCTGTCACCTTTAAAATCTTTTGTCTCAAGCTGTCTGTGGTGAGTTTGACCTTGTGGAAGTCGAGGATTCCATCTGGCACATCGAAGTTGAGGTTGGTGTCCGACCCTCCTCGGCGGATGCTCAGGGGTAAGCTTAAGGTATTCATGTCATGACGTTCTACCTGGAAGGGACCGGGAAGAAGCACTTTAACACCAAGGGCCAAAGAGACAGCCACTGTATCGAATCGTGTAGTTTGAGACGCACATACATTTTAAGCTCCAGGTTTTCAAACCCAGAATTCCATAGGAAAAATACTCCCTGCTCCCCTTTCAAGCTTGCAACAGAACGACTCCTTCCTGCAACTCCTTACTATGCACTAACTGGACGTGAGGCACAGGTCGCCGGGCTATGTGAGCGGCTGTCTGATCACCGTAACTGTGGGCTGCCAGGGGAGGGCATGCAGACTGGACTGAGGTCACTGGCCAGCCCTGGCTTTCCAGAGTGAGCTTCCAAAACCATTACGGGAAATGCATCACACCTAGAACTCACTCATCTACCAGAAGGAGAGGGAGGAAGAGGACAAGAAAGAAAGGTTCCAGCAGGTGTATCCATCAACACAAGAAGGTTATTTTCATAATGGAGTCATTAAATAGATGTTACACAGCAGTATGGCGCATGATTAATTTTAATAACTGAGTAACACAACAACGCTGTTAGACACGGAGACAACTCCAAACCACAACTGCAGTGATTTTAAAATGAAGAGATAAACCCTGATAATAACACGACCACATGAAATGCCTTTCTCAGCTATGCAAAAGGCAGCATGAAGCAGAGCAGGGAGGCCGCAGCAGATTGTGCACCAGGACTGTGACCAAGGGAGGCGAAGAAGGCGCCGAATCCACAAAGTCAGAGCTACTGAGAGCTAAGGAGCTGGGGGCCCGACCCACGCCACCTCCACCTAGTCCTTCCACCGCGGTCAGCACACGCTATTGCCGTCCTTCGGGTCTTTGCAGCACTTGAGCATGGCTTCCAAAAACGACTCACAGGACCTCAGTGCAGCACCACAGATGCCAAGTTCCCAGCCTTTGGGTGAGAGCGCCTGGACAAGGGTTTCCACAGACACCCGTCGGGAGGCGAGCGATAGCCAGCGCACATTATCTCACTTTTTTTAAGAGACTCACAGGCTGACTAAAAAGGCAGCAAGGGATTAACTTAAATGGGCCTCACAGCACCTGACTGACCTGTTTCCAACAACAAGCATTAACACTCCAGCACATGATCAATCCTGCCCAGTGCTCTGTCCCAAGGAAGGGCATCCAAATAACAAAGCAGGACATGACCGTAGGTCTCTGGGTCAGGTCTCCTGCATGACTCACAAAAATTACTTCTTGGCCCCAGACAGGAGTGAGCGACACTGGCTGCTTCATCTGGCAGACGAGCAACATCCAGGAAGCTGGAAGAAAAGAAATGCCCACTTGCTGTAGGGCCAGAAAACAGGATGCCTGGAAAGGGGGTTGAGGAACTGGGACTGCTTAATCCCAAAGGACGAATGAGTGTAGGGTGAAGGAGGCACAGGGCCATCCTCAGGTCCTAGAGGGACAGCCCCATAAGCTCAAGGAAGCTATGTACCTGTCGCTCATGCATGGACCAGCAAAGACTCTGGGAAACACTGAAAATATTACTTGGTACACACAGGGTCCTTAAAGGTAGCTGTACAATCAGTGAGGCTAGAAATTGTACTTCTGATCACACTGTCCAGAAGCTTCTTTTACCTCCCAAATGAGGTAGCAGCCTGACCACTGGTAGGCTGGAGCTCACTTGCAGCCTTGTTTGTGTTTCGAGGACGCCATTCATTGAAGTGGACCAAGCAATCCCATGTCCCACAGTGCACGGTTCCTCACAGGGACTATACTTGTGTTGCTGGCCGCTCACCTACCTCTTATCAAGTCCTGTACATTCTTTGAAACCCATTTCAAATGTCCCTTCTGCCAAGAAGCTCTTCCTGGTTCCAGTAAATCCATTTCTCCTTCCCAGAAGCCCCCGTCACGCTGTGCTTTTTCCCACGGCACCACCTACCACGTCCTTTTCTTGGTCATCTGAGCACCTGATCCCCCAGTGGAGTGAAACAGGAGAGGTGAATCACAGCCCTAGCCCACAGCGGGGCCAGCACGTCCCTTGTTCACAGGAGGCTGCTGATAAACGTCTGATCAACCTCTGTGACATCATTCTTTATTGCAAGGAGTCCATGCTGAAGTCATTTAAGATACACAATAACAATCAAAAGTGACTTTTGGAGTTCTGCTTGAAACATTCCTAGTGGAGAAGTCTCCCAAGTACCTAGATAGTCAATTCTGCATTATTTTTGGAGGAGAGTGGAGTTTGGACAGGGTCTCACTATGGCTCAGCCTGGCCTTGAACTCACTATGTAACCCAGGCTGGTTTCAAACGCACAGTGATCCTCCTGCCTCAGTCTCCCAAGTGCTGGGATTACAGGCATGTGCCACATATAATGGCTATATAATTTCAGGTGGATTCAACTAAACCAAGATTTTTCTAAGCATTAATGTACAACAAATTATATAGCTATAAATAAGAATGTCTAAACTTGAGGCATAATTCACACCCAGAAAAAAACATGTGTAAAATGGAAGGAATCATTACAAACTAAGTACCTCCAGTTGGCTCCCCTTGGCCCCCTTCAAACAGTGCCTTCCAGTCCTTCGCCTCAATTTTACTTGCTGTGCACATGCCCCAGCCACTGCTCACGCAGCCCTGTATGTGAGTTCCACAGGCACTTATTCCTGTCCAGCAGCCAGATGAGATGAAGCTGTAAACAACCGCCGGACGTGCTGTTGAGAATTCCCCTATCATGCCCGCAGAGAGCCCAGCGTTCTGTGCCCTCCCCACCGCACTCAGCAGCAAGCGCCCCTGCCCTGCAGCCGTCAGCGCGGGCAGCATCCACAGAGGGCCTGCTCTGGCTCACAGCCTCAACCACGCTGGCTCGGCCCCTGGCAGTCCGGGTCAAGCACTGAGGCAGTTAGAACCCCACATCAATCTCACGGCTTGTCAGCAGTCACAGGGAAAGGCCTCTGATGAGGGTCTGAGGTCAGAGCTATCCGGGGCTGCACCTTTCCACCTCTGACAGGGTGCATGCTCTGTGGATAATTGAGAGCCAGCTATAAACGCTGCCGAGTGCTAATAAATCCCAAGCCAAGCTGAACGTATGCATCCCTCTGTGCTGCAGGAGAGCTAGGAGAGTCCTCCATGCCCCATTTCTCTGGACTGGGCACCGACCTCACTCCTGCGCTGCCCAGGAGAGGCTGCCTTTAGGGCTGGGAGGTGGGAAGGGGATGGACGTGAGGACCACCAGGGTTTCTCTCTGTGGCCTGGACCGTGAGCCCCAGGAGATGGGCTCCCTGTGGCACTGGCATTTCCAAGCCACACAGCTTTGGGGAGACTGAGTTACACTGTGGGCTTCTGTGTCCTGAGCTGTACACTGTAGTGACAGACCAGACAACTCAGAACTAATACTGTGTCATGCTAGGAAATGTGAACCCAAGCCCTCTGACCACACCGCAACGCAATCTCGACCACGGTCCTCCGGGCACAGGCTGCTTCGGTTTCCGGCCGGGCACGACCCTTCCCAGCTGTCTTCCCTGTGCCCTAGTTTCCTCTTCTGAAAATGGACAATGATTCTCCCAGAGTCCATGTGTAGGATAAAGAAGACTATGCGTGGCAGGCGCTGAGAGCCCTCCTGGCACACAGAATGGCTCCGGCAAATGTTTGGTATTGTTAGATGAATTTCATTTAAAAATGTACCTGTGTGACTCAAAGGAAAACAACCTGCAGTGTTCACAATGGTTATTTTTGCACTCTGAGGTTGTAAGAGGTCAAACTTTTTAATCATGCTTTTGTATTTACAATTTTTTTTAAAAAAAGAAAACATATTACTGTTTTGGCAGGAAAGATTTATTTATTTTTTAATGACTTCACCCCCCTTTCCAGAATCATCCTGGAAGAAAGGCAGGCCACCAGCAACCTGGCAAATGGCCTTCCCGACGGTGTTTTCCTTCCCGGAGCAGAGATGTTTCCATCTCCTCGATGTTCTGGGACAAAGGCTGAGCAAAAGCCCAAGTCCTGGACAGACGTCAGAACTGACCGCCAGCACACACACGGACTCCCGAGGGGGGACCATCCTGGTACACTGTGGCGGCACCTTCCAGCCCCCAGGGCAATGAGCCGAAAAGGCAGAAACAGCACCGAAGCCCTGGCCACAGGCCAGAGAGGCACCTGGGCTCGCTCCGGGGGGGCCTGTGGTGGCTTGGGTGTGGCCTGTACCAAGGCCGGAAGTGGCACTGAGGTGGTGGACCCTTTTGGCGGTGGGGCCTAGGGGAGGTGATCAGGCTTCTGGGGCTCTGTCGCCAGGACAGGAGGGGTCCTCACAGGAGGTCAGCTTCCCCCAGAGCAGGAGGTGTAAGGAACACTGGGTCTCTACTCTGTCCCTCTGCACAGCAAGCAGGTTCCCTTTGGCTTCTCCATCGTGCTCTCTGGTCCCCCCAGGCCCTGGAATCATGAACCAAATGAGCTACTCAGGTATTTTGAGACAGCAAAAGAAAAGGGACTAACAGAGCCTGTGAGGCAGCTCAGCAGATTAAGCACCTGCTTAGGCAAGCACAGGGACTGGGGTTTAATCCCTGGCACCACACGCCCCACCAGCCCTGCCCCTGGGCGCACTGAGCCAGCCACCAAGACCAGGTGTGGTGATGCATGCCTGTAATTCTAGCGCTGGGGAGGCTGAAAACAGGAGGATCACTACAAGTTTGAGCTGTGTAGTGCAACCCTGTATTAAATATATAAGAAGGAAAGAAGAAGAAAAAAAAGAGACTAGGACACCCAATGAGCTGAGGCTCTCAGGCTCCAGGACATCAGGGTGCTGGCACGGGTGCAAGCTGCCTGCTTGGTCCTGAGCCCATGTGATGAACTGGGCCTACAGGAAGGAGGCCTGACTTCGAAGCAGTGAGGCGTGAGTCCTTCCCGGGCTTCTGGCTCCCAGCCACTGGGTACTTCAGGCCCGGAAGGATATACACGGGCGCCATGAGCTAAGCCTCCTCACAATCGCTGACACCTCTTCCTAGGCATCTCTGCCATCTGCTTGTCCACTGGCTCCTAAGACTTGGTG